GCCGCAAAACAGGCAGAAGGGTCGGGAGGGGGAGAAGGGGGAGGCAGGGAAGACTGCGGGCTAGGGGAGGGAGAACGGGAGAACGGGGCGGGAGCAGAGCGGGAGGGGTGGGGAGTCCCGACGATGGACCAATCGCCGCTGACGACGTTCTAGGTGGACAAGATTTTAAACGGGCTTTCCATGCCTCCGCCCCCGGTTGCGGGGCTAACAGGGGAGAGAGGCGCGGGAGGCGGCGCGACACACCGCGGACGGAGGCACCCGTGCACGGAGAGCCTTAGACAGTGGGAAGCGAAGCCGCCCAAACGAAGAGGGGGCATATGCCAACTTTTTGGCCCTCTAACGGCTGCTCCAAGCGTTGGTACTATTTGAATCTGGGTCGCCGGAACGGATGCCCGGCCGTTCGCGCCTCCTCGGCCCATGGGGCGATGCCGGGTGACCAAGGGAAGGTGTGGTCGCCCCCATCCACCCCCGGGGCATGTTGCCGGCACGTGCAATCCCAGAGGAAGGGAGCCGCAGGCACTCTGTGAGGCGCTCTGGTTCTGCACAGATGGGGCGGAACAGCGGGGGCAGGGGGTGGACCTCGGGGCCCGGTTCTCGAGCAGATCGCGTTAGATCCCTCCCACCAAAGACGTCGGAATCACCCGGTGAGAGGCCGACCGAGAGGCCACGCGCCGCTGTGGACTATCCCCCGGCAACACCGGCCCTCAATGATGGGATGTTAAGGGCCACTTGTAACTGGATCGGGCCGTGGGCCGGTGGCCCTGTCTCCATACTCTCGCCTGCTCGCACAACTTCGCACATACACTCATCCGCGCGCTGCAGCCACAACCGCGCGCCTGTGTTCCCCACTGACGTCGCCATGACGGACTCGCACCAGCCGCCGGCCGGAGACGCGCCCTCGGCCGCGGAGCTTGGCGAATCGCTCAAGCGCGCGGGCCAGCTGTTTGGGCCGACTCTTGCCTCGGCGGCCGCGGCCAAGCGCCCCCGGCCGGTGCCACCCCTGGACTCGGCCTCGGATCTGGCGGCCGCGGTCCGGAGCCCCTTCGCCCTGGGGATCACCTCAGTTCGATCGGCAGCCAGCTGTCTGACGGTGGGCCCAGCCACACCGGCCATTCTAAGGCCGGCGGCCCCGGGCCTGGCTGACTCCCGCGAAGCCCCTCGGACGGACCACCCCGCACCTACGGACTCTCCACTGACGGATGGCTCCCCGCCGCTCTTCGACATTGGGGCCCCGGGCCTCGGGACACCAGCCAGCCCCTCGACGGGCTTCGACTCGCCGACCACGCTTGCCGTGGCTCTGGTCGCCGATCCTTCCACCCCGGCCCCGGGCCCAGCTCCTGCCTTGGGCCGATCTGAGTCCATGTCCATCGGCCAGGGAGAGAGCTCGACACCGGCCACGGCCAGTGCGGCATCACTCGCCGAGTTGGTGGTTCCACCTCCGGGACGGGATGGCCGGACGGCCACGACTCCCGATGAACTGGTCCCCTGCCAGCAGCCGATCGCCTCCTTTCACACCCGCCCGCGCGTGCCGATCTTGCTATCGGGGCTGATGCTGCAATCGTCGCATCCCTTTGATTCGGCCCTCTTCGGGCCGCGGGGCCCGCTGACAGCCGGCAGCGCTGCCCGGACACACTACTTCTCTCTGGCAGAGTCACCTGCGGTGCGCGCGTGTCCCTGTCTCTCCCCCATGCCCATGCATCCCGGGGGGGGCTTTTCTCCCCTTCCGTGCCGCCGTTTTCTCACTCTTCTGGTCATCTTGCGCGCTTGATGGGTCGAAAAAAAAAAACAATGCGAGCCAGACGCCACTGGAGAAGATGATCAAGGCCCTGGCGTATTGGGCAATTCCGGGGCTGGAGCTCCTCCCCCCGAGCTTGGTTCCTCGGCTGGTCGAACTTTTGGAGCGGTCCTCCGCCACGGGTGCCGGCTCTTCACAAAGTGGTCTCCTTTCCTCGCCCTCGGGGGGGAACCTTGCATCCATGGCGGCGCGCGGGATTTCCTCGGCCGGGGGAGATGGGTTTTCCTTGGTCGCGGCTGCGCGATCCCTGCCCTCTCGCGATCGGGAGGATCTGTCCTTCTACATGAGTAAGCGCGCAGAATGGTATGCCCCAAGGAGCTAAGTCACGCGCCTTCACACACACACACACACACACACACA